GTGGGTCACAGGGTAGTAAAAAATAAATAAATTTTTTTTTATACTTTAAATTATACTTTATTATACTTTTAATATTATTGTACTTTATTACTTTAATATTATTACGGTAGACCACGTCCATTTTGGTAGACCGCAGTGGCATAGTGGCCAGACTCGAGTAGTATTCGTAAAATAAATTTGTTTTACGAACCCTAACTGAATTTGGGATCTATTGGCCAGTCTCGAGTAGCATCCGTAAATAGGCGTCCGGAGAACAAGTGCGGCCACTCCGGGGCATGGCAGAAACCTACGGGTGCCCCAATAGAAATTCTGCCAAACATTCACGTGTTCCAACCCTATTGTACTAACTTTTCCAACCCTACTGTACCAACCTTACCAACCGTCAGGCTAATGACCTCAGTTGTCGAAGCCTTAAAAAATAATAAAAAAAAAAAAAAAAAAAAAAAATATACAAAAATATTGCTCAGTTTTATGGTTAGAAATAGAATTTTCAATTATATTACAATGTACTTCGATAATTTTATTTTCAAAATAATTACATAATATCCGAGCCAATATGTTTATAGTTATATACAGGGTGATTGATTTAGCGTAAAACACTCATTATCTCAAAAATTATTAATGTTTTTGAAAATATTGTTTTAAATAGTTTCAAGTTGTTAAAAAAACAACGTTTTCATTAAAAAATTATATTTTTAAATATTATTTATCCTTATAGTTTTTTAAGTTTTTTACTTTTTTGAATGGCAGCATAGAGTTTTAATTTCATATTCCAAAGCAGAATATTTTTCTAAGTATTTTGATACATAAAAATCGAACTTAGGACGAGTAGTTTATGAATTATAAGTAGTTTAAGTTTAGATGGGCGGAGTGGAGTGGTATGGGGTTACCCCGCAAAATGTTTATCCACTACACGACCCATCTAAACTTAAAATACTTATAACTCATAAACTACTCGTCCTAAGTTCGATTTTTATGTATCAAAATACTAAGAAAAATATTCTACTTTGGAATATGAAATTAAAACTCTATGCTGTCATTCAAAAAAGTAAAAAACTTAAAAAATATAAGGATAAAAAATATTTAAAAATATAATTTTTTAATGAAAACGTTGTTTTTTAACAACTTGAAATTATGTGAAAAAATATTTTCAAAAACATTAATAATTTTTGAGATAATGAGTGTTTTACGCTTAATGAATCACCTTGTATATATTAACTAATCCTAAGCTTGATCTTAAATTCTCATCCAATAAATAATAAACATTAGATTTAATTGTATTATAGTTATTTGTCTGAAGTATTTTTATATATTTTTATATTTATTTTATTGATCAATAGTGTAATTTTCTTTTCTATTACAGTTTTGCTATCTTTTGTTTCAATAACACCATTTATGTCTTTTAAGAAACTTTTAGTATAAAATGTTGGTATTAATGTACCAGTTACACTTCGTTTAAATGTATGATCAGTATAATTGTAATTTGAGGAAGAATTGAACAACGGAATCCCTAAACAGTTTGCTAAATAATCGCTTAAAGTACACTCATAGTTAGTTAAAATCTCTAAATATTTATTAATCACTGTAAGTCTAGTATTACCATTGAGTATAGATAGTATAGAGAAACCATCTATAGCTGAAATATGTGATACGCGCAAAGGGAGATGGCCGTTAGATGGCGTATTCCTAAATTTGACGAACGGTTATTCGCAGGAAAAAATTTTTGTACGATCCATTTCATTATCAATATAATAAACGACCATGGTAATAACCACGTTATCGGTTATGATTAATTCTTATGTAATCTTTCTTATTGTAAAAAAAAATGTAGAGATTTCCTACCGATAGAGAAAGGTGTAGACAATGGATTCTTAATTCAGGTAAGTTAAATACATTTTAATTGAAAGAATTAAGATGAATGTAGTATAAATAAGTTATTATTTTTATAGGAAACATGGTATTAGATGGTTTATCGCCGAAAAAAATTAAAAATAGGTATCTGTGTGAAGATCATTTTAATGAACATGATTTCACCAGACCAGATCATAACAGGCTTATGTCTGGAGCCATCCCTGTGAAGTTTAATGCAAATAGTAAGTTTATTATAACTCAACTAAAATTGTCTGTACCAAGTTAAATATATACAGAAGTTTTTATAATAATTATACTTATCCTTTTAAATATATCTAGACAATGAAGATATAATATCAAAAATGTCACAAACGACAGTGAAGAGAGAAAGACCAGTTAAGAGAAGGATTACATTTCATAAAACAGGTAAATATTATATATAACATCCACATTTATCGTCATAAAAGTTTTTTTTATTCAAGCTGTTGAAAATGTACTTCAGTACTTAACATGTTTCTTTTAGATTCTGAGTGAAACGATGAATGTATTGATTTTACAATGATGTGTGTTTTTTTATTTTTGTGTCTGTATACACGATAAGTAGTCGAAATAATGCTTCGATTTTCGACTTCAGTATCTCGTTCGATTAGAAAGTGAATATTGTTGGTGCATTGGGGAGGTCAAAATTTAAAATTCACAATAGTTTTCACAAGCGCCGGGAAAAACAACATAAAAATGAAGGAAAAACGGGAATTTTTACGCAAAATAGGTTTTTGACAAAATAGAATTTGGTTTTTGGTGTAACTTTAAAACAAATGACTGTAGGAACATGAAATTTTGACTGGTTGTTTATATTTGCCTTTTCTATACACGATAACATTTTCAAAATATTTTGATTTATTATGAACTGTTTAGAGACATTTTCATTTTCCATTTTTTTTTTAGTTTTTTTTCTAAAAATATCAATAAAACTTTGTTTGTTGAGTAGAAATACTTGAAAATTTAATACAAGGTTCCTACTATATTGTTTCAAAGGCAGATGAAAAATATTAAAAATCGTTAGTCACAGTTTTTTTTTTTATAAGCATTTAAAGTTCAAAAATCGACAAATCACGAAAATTAGCAAATTATTTTGAGTTAAGTATTCGTAAAAATTTTTCTTTTTAAATCTAAGATTTGAAAATGTAATACAAGATTACTCATAAGTTTGTCTACCTTTATCAATAAAAAAATCTCTACCGAACAGTCAAATTAAATTTTTATGAGCGTTTGAAATTCAAATTTTTACAACATTGGATGTTCACTCGATTTCTCATGTAGCGATTTCCTTATTTTATTGTTATTCATAAACGAATAACTATAGATACATGAAAATTTCACTGAATGTTTGTATAAGCATTTCCTATACACCATACAATTTTGAAAATATTTTGACTCTTTTTGAGCTGTTTACGGATATTTTCATTTTTAAATTTTTTTAGTTTTTTTTTCTATGAATATCAATAAAGTTTTATCTGTTGGGCCAAAAAGTGTAAAAATTTAATACAAGGCTCCTGATATATTGTTACAATATCAGTTGAAAAATATTAAAAATACATAGGCACAGTTTTTTTTTATAAGCATTTAAACATCAAATTTTAACAGAATTTTTCAAAATCTCGAAAATTATTAATCATCGTAATTAATAAATTATAAAATAATCAGTTTTTATAGCTAAGGATTGAAAATTTAAAACAAGATTCCACGTAAGTAGTTAATTCTTTTACCAAAAAATCTAAAAAATATACAATCACAGTTTATTTTTATAGTAATTTTATGTTCAAATTTGGACGAAATTACACATTAAAAAACCTAGTTATTTTGTTGTGATTATATAATATTATTCATGGGTACCTACTTGAAACTTCTAAAGTTTACTATTATATATCAATGATAGCATCAGGATTTGTTATTGATGTTGATGTATAACGTGTTATACCTAAGTACCTAATAGATATTGTGATAATGTGATATGATTAATTTGGAATTTATTATAGGTCAATTTTTTTTTAATACCATAGATATGTATATAATTTGTCTTAAACCTAGACTGACATACCGTCTTCGCTCAGAATCGTTTTTCTTATACAATGATATTGTATCATTGAATTCAAATTTAATACCATCCATTATACAGTGACCCACTTGTAACCTACAGTACAGCAGAGCGACATCCACTTACCCACCTTTTTTTTTTTTTTTAATTTCGCATTATTTTGGAAAATACATAATTATTAATTTTTAAACACATACCTACTCCAAGTGTTAATGTTTTCTATTTTAAAAAAAATATTTTATACTGTGTGTCCTCGAAAACTGGGTAAACTACTTAACTAAGTTACCTATACATGATTACTCAGTACCCTAAACATATTTTAGAATTCTATCAGTAAGAGATTGATTATGAAATAGTGTAATTTTATGTCTTGCAACTAGGATTCAAAAATATGTATAGGTTATTAAGTAATATGGATAATTTAATTATACATGGTAAATGGTTTTCGTTAACATATGTTATATGCAATTGTTATTCTCAAAGTATACATACTTTGATTATTGATATTTCATAAAATTATACAAACACTTATAACAAAATATAACATTTACCATATTATCTACCAGCTACCACTGAAAGTTGTTTTATATTTTTATGAAAATATGAATTTGGCAGTATTTGTTAAATATTAGATTGTAATGTAGTTTGTACCAAGTGGCCATGATATATTTAGCATTTAGCTAAAAAATTTGTAGTATGAAACATTAGTCTTATTACATTTTCCTCACAAAAAAGGTGATATAGAAGTAAACGTTACCTGATTAAATATATAATACAATATAATATACTACTGACTACAGAGTACACAAATATAGTGAAGACTGGTTAATGTCTGTTTATACTAATAAATATAAATTACATTTTTACAATACCTATATTTTAAAATAATGCATTATTACTTCTTATTTATAAAAAAAATTAAAAATTAAAACAAATTACTTGTCATTACATGTTATACATAAATACAAATTTCAATAAAATAAAAATTACATTCTTGTTATTTGTAGGAGAAGAACACATAAATGTATTTTAAAAGAGTCCTTTTGGTGATAAAATGATACAGGACTTTTCACCAAAAGAACTGAAATTAATTATCCCGAATAAAACGTATGAAAAATGTATAGATACACGTCCCGATATCAAAGAAATTATTGATGAAGAATATGATCAAACATATAATTTTGAAACTGTTTCCCCAAGTACAAAAAAATATGTGTCACAATTGACACAACTACCAAGCCCAATAAAAACCAAACAAAGTACAAAATATGAAAAACTTTTAGAAACAGTCATGAAACAAAAAAAACTATTGGCACAGAAGTGTCTTAAAATATCACGTCTGATTAAACAAAATGCAAATTCCAAAAAAGAAAAAAGTTGGATCCAAGTACTTTGATTAATAACTCTGTATTTAACTCAAAAAAAAATCCAAAGCACATGTCACTATGCAGCTTTTGCATAACAAAAAAAAAGCCATGGAGAACAAACCGAGAAAAATGTTGCTACCTCTATATATTTTAAATCCCCATCAACATATAGGTTTATGAGAAGAAATAAGATAGTTTCACCCGGAGTGACTTCTATTCAGCGATGGCTTAAATCGATGATGTATTTACCAGGTTTTGTAACAGAATATAATTCTCAATTGACATTAATGTCTAAAGTAATGACTGAGCAAGAAAAAAAATATGTAGTGTTAATTGATGAAATGTCAATAAAAACGTGTCTGGAGTATAATAAATCATTAGATTTCATTGAGGGCTATGAAGATCTAGGGCATTTGGGTCGATCAGAAAAGTCTGCAAAACTTGTTCTTGTTGTAACGATACATGGACTTTATAACAAATGGAAACTACCTTTTGCTTACTTTATTAGTAGTACTGGAGTCACAGGTGATCAAATGGCCAACATTGCAAGAAATAGCATTGTGAAACTATGTGAGATTGAATTTTCACCAAGTATAATTACGTGTGATCAAGGTACAAGTAACCGCAAAATGTTTTCCTTGCTTGGAGGGACTCCTGAAAATCCATATACAGTAATTAACAGCAAAAAAATTTTCTTAATGTATGATATTCCTCATTTGATGAAAAGCGTTAGAAATAATCTGCTTATAGGAAATATTATCATCCTAACAAATGAACGCGAGAAAAAAATATGTTTCAATGATTTCCGTAATCCTGTAACCTCAGGATTATACAAATTGTTTGATGTTCCATCATCTACAGTATCTTCCACATCTATACTTTGATACCCTAATAAAATGATAATATTTATATATTATAAATTGACATTAATAACATATTTGTATAACATACCAATTGACATTATGGACCATGATATACTAATATAATAAAAATATTTAACTACCTGTATTGTAGTCACCATCACAATCTATTGCATTAATCAGTGGATCCAATTGTTCTCCCAGTAAACCAACAATTTTTTCCGTAGATTTTGAAATACTTGGAATGTGTGTACCTCCGCCTGTTATATACCTTTGTACCTATATAGAATATAAATAAAATTAAATTTTTTTTCAATCAGTTCTCAATAAAGAGATAAGTTGAATTATAATCATAAACAGTAAATACAGTTTATAATTATTATATAAAACAAAATTTGAAATTTGAATATTATACAACATTTAATTTAAATACAAAATAACCAATAAAGTAAAAATTGCATGTTATTTTAGCAATATTAAATTATAATACATCAAAATAATAAATTTACCTTATCGTGACTTTTTTCTTTCCTAGCATCTCTTTTCAGTCCATCGTACAAATGTTTTAACTGTACATCAATTCTGATGCCTGATTTTTGTTGCATATTGTACAAACAAGTAATCTCAGACCAGGCCTCAGTTTTCTTTTGGTTCCAAACCGCATCAGTCTGAATAAAATATTTTAAAACAATTAAACTTAAAAATAAAAAGATATTTAATAATTATTATTTAGATGCCTAAATTAGTTTTATATATTTTATTATTAGGACTGAGGACTACTATGCTCTTATTACTACCACAGACCTATAGTCTTTTTCATAACATTTTAGTAAGGTAGCAGAACTATAACATGATAATAATCAGGGGCGGACTGGGCTAAATATATAATATCATGCATATTTTGAAAGTAAAAAGTCCTCAGTCCCAACAATTATTATGTATTATAATGTATATTGTATATGTATTATAGGTACATACAATAAAAATATTCTTAAAACCGATTTCAGTTGTCCGAATAATGTATACAAATCAACAAATTGACAAATTACATTTTTAAACCGTCATCAACTATACTCATAAACATGGTATAATATATTGGTACCAATATTTTTCAATTTTATCGAATTGATGTATGTATAGTTTGACTTAAAAATACATATCGATATATACGTACAGAAAAATAACACAAATTAGATACTTTAATAAGTACTTACTTTCATGTTTTCAATTATTGACTTGAAAGGTAATATCAAGTCAATTAGTCAATTTCTCCCATTCTGTAAAGTTTTTTCCCCGTTGCCGTTTTAATTTAAAATCACTTACATTCACTTCTGACATTATTATACTCTACTTATTACGGACGTAGGACGTAGGTAAACAAAAAAACACTTTAAATAGTTAGGTACTAGGTAGTATAATATTATACAATATAAATGCAATTATTTTGTACCGAACTACCGATTAAATTTTCAAACTAAAACAACAGCTGATTAGTTGTTATCAATTTTCTGTGATAAGCTTCAGATTTCAACATAAACCTTGGTATCATGTTTGAAACCAATACATTTTTATTCAACTGTTTGTGCAACCCAAATCGCTTAATAAAATTATTTAATGATTCAATAAAACTATTCATTAAATAAATTTAAGGAACGGTTTCATGCAACCCGGTATAAGTGTTTTATTTATTGAACCGCCATCATGAAAAGATGACCAAATATTACTGTAAGTAGGTACAATACGTATTAAGTATATTTATTATTAATTATTTAATTAATTTACTGGCTTTTTATTTATTTTAATTAACGTTTAAATTTAATATACGTTTTGAAACGTTATGACGACTCGGCAAAACACTGATATATGGTTAATTGGGCAGCCTTTAGAACGAATTACTGGTAGTAAGCTTCCTTCAAATGGAGATATTATGCGTAGACTTTTATTTTTAATACGGAATGCAAAAAAAAAACAGTTAAAGAGTCTTCATCCGTTATAACTCAAGAATTATTATATTTTTGGAAATGTGCGAGGATACCAACAATGAATGACTATAATATTACTCCTAAAATAGAAAAAGTATATATGAACTGGCGTGACTTACAAAAAGGTAAGTCACGTAGATCCCAACCACAAATAAAAAAAAGAAGAAGTATTTAAAGATCAATTAACAGATTTATTTGATATTGCTCATTTAAATGCTCTACAAATTATTAATATTGACGAAGACAAAAAATTCTTATTAGCACAACGCGAGAAAGGTAGAAAAGGGTGTATGATTGGAATAGATAGAAAATTAGAAAAACAAGAAATGCGGAAAAATCAACGTGAAATCGCGTTTCAAAATTATAAAAACAGAAGTAAAAAAAACGAAAGATGAATTATCAGTACTTGATACAGTTGATTTATTTTCTTCTGATAGTTGTAATGAAGAAGATATTGAATTTACATTAGAAACTACAAATACTTCGAATAAACGAAAAAGGGGAAGACAAAATATTATGAGTTCTGAAATTGTAACAGCATTAGATCGTACAAAAGTAAGTGATCGAAATGCAGTTCATATTCTTATTGCTACAGCTCAAAATCTTGGCAGTAATGCGAACAACATCGCTATAAATCGCTCAACTATTCGAAGAAATAGAATTATTTTAAGACAAAGAGTTTCCGATGACATAAAAGTATCTTTTAATCCAAATTGTCCTCTAACTGTGCACTGGGATGGCAAAATATTACCCGATATTACCGGGAAAGGTCATGTTGATCGTCTTCCTATTTTAGTATCCGGAGACGGAGTAAGCTTCTCAGTGTTCCAAAGCTTGAATCTGAGGAAGCGATGTCAAATGCTGTTATAGAGTCATTATTTGATTGGGGTATAACAGACCGCGTTCAATCACTATCATTTGACACAACAGCCAGCAATACAGGACGAATAAACGGAGCATGTAAGTTAATCGGGGAAAAAATTGGTAGAAAATTATTATACCTAGCATGTCGACATCATATATTAGAAATAGTTTTAGGAGCTATTTTTAATATCTGTTATAACAGTCCATCAACTGGGCCAAATATTCAAATATTTCTAACATTTCAACAACAGTGGAAAAATATTGATATGAATACATGTCAAGTCTTAGAAGAAAGAATAAGTAATCGAGACGAAGTCATAATATTTTGCAAAGAACAATTAATTTCATTTCATTCGCGTGACGATTACAGGGAGCTGTTAGAACTTATAATTATTTATCTCGGCGGTGTTCCTACAAGAGGTATAATATTTATTCAACCTGGAGCAGTTCATCGGGAGCGATGGATGGCACATGCTATTTATGCCATAAAAATATGTATATTTAAAAATCAATTCAAAACATCTAAAAATACAATAAATTATATGAAAAGATTTTCGTTATTTATTGTTCAAATTTACGTATTTCATTGGTTTAAAGCTCCCTGTGCTATATCTGCTCCTGTAAACGATTTAAATTTACTAAAAGAACTGTCATTGTACCCAGATAAAGCTGTATCGAATGCAGGAATTACGGCTTTTTTACGTCATCAGTGGTATTTAGCAGACTTGCTTGTATCTTTTTCATTTTTTGATCAAAATGTTTCATATCCAATTAAAAAAAAATGGTCACTGCATTAAGCAACAAAAGCTCAGAAGATTATAAAAATCGAATTAAAATTGATATTGTAGATTTAAATTGTACCCAGAAAACTGTTGCTGATTTTGTTAATCATAAATCAATTGATTTTTTTAATATATTGAAGATACCAACTGAGTTCCTTAAGTCTGATCCTGAAATTTGGGAAAATATGCCAGATTATCAACTAGGACTAAGTGTGGTTAGAAATATGAAAGTTGTCAATGACTTTGCTGAAAGAGGAGTGGCTCTATTCAAAATTATAATTCGATTCTTACGAAAAATGAAAGTCAAAAACAATTCCTTCTACAAGTCGTCGAAAGTCATAGAAAGAGATTCCCTGTTGCTCGAAAATCAACCATCATATCAGACGAAATTTAATCGAAATAATATAATTTATAAATTAATAATAGATTCAAAAGAAATTGTATAAATGTATTTTTTATTGACAATATTTCGAAATTCATTCGAAATAATTTTAATACTCAAATTATTCAATATTTTTACGTACCTATTAATAGATTCATAAGAAATTGTATAAATGTATTTTTATGTATTTTTTATTGACAAAATAAATAGTAAATATCTATAATTTACCTTTAATACGTTCATTGATAAGTATAACATTTTTTAAATTAAACTTAAAAAATTACATATCAACTCTTTTTTGGAATTTTTCAATCCCTTTGTGGCACGTGAAGGGGTTGAGTAATCATGACCAAATTTAAAAGCAATTACTTTCTTATAGTAATGAACAAAATGGAAAGGTAAGAAACCAAAAATTTTGAAGTTCAAAAATAAGGACCACCCTAATAAGTATATTATTCTGAGTACCTAGGTAAATAGGTAATGTTAGTGATTTGAGATTTCAACACAAATAATATTCCTATTTGTTTTATAATAGGCTATACATTAACAAACTATTCAGCTTGCATTTAGCTATTTAGAGTATAGTAGGCCAGTATTCAAGGTTGTTTTTAAAATTAAAAAGGTGGGCAAGTGGGTGTCGCTCTGCTGTACAGTAGATTACAAGTATAATGGATGATATTAAATTTGAATTCAACGATATAATATCATTGTATAAGAAAAAGGATTCTGAGCGGAGACGGTATGTCAGTCTATGTATAAGACATATTATATACATATCTATGGTACTAAACCAAACTTTGACCTATATAGGTACCTATATAAATTCCAAATTAATCATATCACAATATCCATTAGGTACTTATAACGCGTTATATATCAACAAAAACCGTGATACTATCATAGATAAATAATAGTACCCTTTAGAAGTTTCAAGTACCCATGAATAATATTATTCAATCACAATAAAATAACTAAAATAGTTATTCTAGGTTTTTTAATATGTAATTTCGTAAAAATTTGAATTTAAAATGTCTGTAAAAAATAACCGTGTTCATATATTTTTTAGATTTTTTGGTTACAGTATGAACTATTTATGAGGACCTATGTCTTAAATTTGCGATCCTTAGCTATAAAACTGAATTATTTTGATAAATTTTGTCAAAATTCGATCTTTAAAAGTATATAAAAAAAAAACTGTGCCTATGTATTTCAACTGATATTGTAACAATTTATCAGGAGCCTTGTATTACATTTTTACACTTTTTGGCCCAATAGATAAAAATTTATTGATATTTATAGAAAAAAAAACTAAAAAAAATTTAAAGCTGTAAATGTCCGTAAACAGCTCAAAAAGAGTCAAAATATTTTCAAAATTGTATGGTGTATAGGAAATGCTAATATAAATATTCAATAAAATTTTCAGGTATCTACAGTTATTCGTTTTTGAATTACAACAAAATAAGGAAATCGCTACCTACATGAGAAATCGAGTGAATATCCAATGTTGTAAAAATTTGAATTTCAAACGCTCATAAAAATTTAATTTGACTTTCTTATAGACATTTTTTTTTTTATGATCTTATAAGGAATCTTGTATTACATTTTCAAATCTGAGATTTAAAAAGAAAAATTTTTACGAATTCTGAACAAAATAATTTGCTAATTTTCGTAATTTTTCCGTATTTTGTCAATATTTGAACTTTAAACGCGTATAAACTAAACTGTGACTAAGGATTTTTAATTTTTTTCATCTGCCTTTGAAACAATAACCTAGGAGCATTCTATTAAATTTTCAAGCTTTTTTAACCAACAAATAAAATTTTATTGATATTTATAGAAAAAAAAACTAAAAAATTGAAAACTGTAATAATATATCATAGACTTAACCATCATATTATAGAGACCTAATCTATGACCGAAGTCCACTACAACCGTACTATAAAGTAGAGTGAGTTCCCAGTTTTTTCTAAACCAACTTCTACATTTTTAGTATGGTGTAAATATTACGAACATATTAATGATAAACAAGTCAACAAAATATAATTGTGATTTAGTTTTATATAATCATTTACTTTTAATTTATCCAGAGAGCACAGTGATCAAACTTCTTCAAATTCACAAATGTCAGTCCTACCTGTACCTGTTGATGTAGCTTCAAATCCTGCTCTAACTGAAAATTGTACACCTATTTTCCAATCTGCAAAAGTCTCTTGTTCATTATCTCAAGATGATGTTAACCTAGCCCAACCATTAGCTACGTCTATGGAATATGACGTAAATTCTGATGTTGATGCACACAAGCTAGAAAAAATATTTCCATATTTTGTCAATTTTTGAACTTTAAATGCTTATAAAAAAAAAAATTGACTAAGGATTTTTAATATTTTTCATCTGCCTTTGAAACAATATACTAGGAGCCTTCTATTAAATTTTCAAGCTTTCGCAACCAACAAATACAATTTAATTGATATTTTTAGAAAAAAAACTAAAAAAAAATGGAAAATTGAAAATGTCCCTAAACAGTTCAAAATAAATCAAATATTTTGAAAATGTTATCGTGTATAGAAAATGCAAATATAAACAACCAGTGAAAATTTCATGTATCTATTCGGTCATTTGTTTTAAAGTTACACCAAAAACCAAATTCAATTTTTTGAAAAATCGATTTTGCGTAAAAATTCCCGTTTTCCTTAATTTTTATGTTGTTTTTTCCCGGCGCTTGTGAAAACTACTGAGTAATTTTTACTTTTGACCCCCCCCCAAAGTACTAACTAGATTCATTTTTCTATCAGAAAAGCTACTTTTGAAGAAAATCCAAGCACTTTTACTGTCCTAAAACGTGATGACAGACACAAAAAAAAATTAAATTAAAAAAAAAACACACATCATTGTAAAATCAATACATTCATCGTTTCACTCAGAATCTAAAAAAGAGTATTGTACCTATACTGGTATAGTAGTAATAACTATGTTTAACATTTTAAAAATTAATATGAAAACTAAAGAAAAAAGCAACTGTTTTAACAAATTTAAAAGCAAATAAAATTGTTCAATAAATTAAAATATTTTAAATAACATAATAATAATTTTAAATAACAAAATAGGTTGTATTTATAATTTTATTTATTAAGTTCTTTTATTTCTTGCTCAATAGAATCCACTTCTATTTGAGCAGTTTCCATTAAACGTATCTTTTTTTTCTCTTAATTGTTGTAATTGATCCATAATATGTTTCGTCTTTGAAAGTTTTTCTTTGTGTTCACTATCAGCTTTTTTTTTTTTCAATTTTAATGCTTCATCATAGTGTTGTCTGGCATTTCTTACGTTCAATATAAGTTTTTTAGAGATGTCTATGTTACTTATACCACCAACCTTATTAATAGCTTACCATACATGACGTTGAGCTATAAGTGATTCTTCTTGTAAGTTTACTATCAGACACTCTTTATTTACAGAAAATCCACGTTCAACAGAAGCATTACCATGTGAAAATATCAGAACTTTTTTTAAAACATTCATCATTGCAGATGATAGTTGAAAACAATGGCAATATTTGTCCAAAAACTGTCAAGCATTACTTCATACCGTGAAAATTGTTTTGCTCTTTCTATAAAACTTTTATTTGAGCACAAAATAGTAAATTCTCTTTCAAGTTTATCACCTATTTATCCACTATGCCACTAACCCAATGATTTTCCACAAATGTTTCCAAGCAAGTTTTAAATCTATAATTTGCCACTTTTACAGATGTAACAATTATGCTTGGATCACAAAATGATATACCTTTTACCACCTTATACTTAATAGGTGATTTTAATAATAACTTCAAACATATTGTTTGTAAAATTAATTGACAATCGGTTCTGAAAATTAACATATCTTTGTCAGTAAATATATCAATAGAACGAATAGCTTCTCTTGTACTGAAACCAAGGTTTATTTTTTTTGAACCAATTAATTTACTTTTATCCAAAACATCTATTCTGTAAGTTTTCATTTTCCATTATTTCTGGTTTTACAAAGCTGCTCATCATAAACTGTAAAATGTTTTGTAAATCGGTGTAAGGTAGGGATCAAGAGGTTCATCGCTTTGGAATTGTTTCAAAAAAGGTACAAGTTGACCGGCTATAGTCTCTAAATATGCCAATTTGGGTTTTATAAATGGATCATTTAATCCTTTTACCATTTTACTTTAACTGTATGATGTTGGCTCTCTGTTTGTATTTTTTATACCTTCAACGTAAGCTCTTAAATTGGGTAATATTTTTCAGCTCTTTCTGCCACAATAACATTTTGCAACCATCGTACAGCACAAAACTTCAATGGAAATTCAGATAAACCAGAATAGTGAATTAAGTCTGCTCTGCGAGCTGGAACGTTTTTAAATAAATCGTAGACGATAGACAAACATGACACGTAGGTAAAATAATATTAAATAACAATAAATTTAAGGGAACTGTTCAAAAACTACCAGCACAAAACTGTCAAGCAATAACTATCATTATTTTTATATACGTGAAAATAACAATATTCGTAAATATTCGATAATAAATAATTCAACTGAACTTATTTTTAGCTATACTCTGTTCAAAATGAGATGATGACTCGGCGGCGACCAGTTTTCGTCGGGCGGCGGTCAGACATAAGGTCAGACGCTGTCCCCACTACGGCGACGCGTCGGGCGCTGCAATGGAACAAAGCCACGCCCATGCGCACAACTTGGCCGCCGAGTCATCATCTCATTTTGAACAGAGTATATTTCTTATCTTTCGCGAGGCGACGCGAGCGCCAGTAACTATGGTGGGGCTACACTGTCGTCTCGCACTCTCGCGGCCTCGTGAATAATACGTATTCACGCAAAATAGTATACGTAGACTATTGTAGACTTTCCGGCGCGTGCAAGCGTGTGAATCCCGTTAGCTAACCGCAGGAACATGTATGGTCTTAGAAATTAATGGAAGGGGACAAGGGACAGAGATCCCATCGAGGAGAGCTGATGGACCAAGAGTTAAGTCAGAACGAGCCAGCAGCCTCAACTCGACAGATACCAGCTAAAATTACTTAGATCACAACTCTGCTTATGAACCGTTTTAATGAAACTTAAGTATTCTAGACGTAGAAGAATATTGCATAACTATGTGTTTGAGGACAATAAATACAAATTCTCGGTCATTCTTCGTAAGTCATTTCAATTACTTCCTACATTTCAACAACGTTAGTAGTTGGCACGTAACAATCTATTTTACACAGATATTTGAGCTATTTAGACATATTACAATAAATATTTTAAACATTACATATATTACCACAAAATATTTTAAATTCTGTTAAATATTACAACAATTAAAAATGTAGACACATTACAATACATTTCTCAATACATATACATTTTCCCCGCCAATCATAAATAAATTGTAACAAATAACAACCAAAGTAACGTGGGAAAACCAAATTGTATCCAACTTGTTCAATTTACTTAGAGTTGAAAGTTGAACTATTTTTCAAGTTTATGAACGGGCGATTTTATTGTATATATTTAAATGAAATATAGGACCATTTCAGCCTTTGCATTGTTATAATACTAGAATAAAAAACAATTGTAATTTAATTATTCCACGAAATAATACTAATTTTGGAACACAAAGTCAATGATTAAGGACTTCTGTACTTCGTAAATATAATATTAATTTAACTAATTTTGATAATTTTCATAAGTATAAGAAACATATTAACACTATTTTATCTTGGTTGTAAATGTCCACTTTTTAGTTCAATGATAATTTTAAGTAACTACTCTTAATGTTGAACGTTTTTCTTTCTTTTTTTTATTTTATTTGTATACTTTTATAATACTCATAACATGAACCCAGCTCATCCGTCTACAAGCATATCTATGCTTATTGGACCTGCTTCCAAACCTACCATAATTTGTTTGTAAATATTGTTTTATTTTGTTTGTTTGCTAAATAAATATTATTATTATTATTATTATTATTAGTATTTTCGTTTTTTTTTTATATATTATATGAAAAAGTATATTACAGCACACCATTAGCTATTCCGTTTATAGGATAGTGGTATTATTTCGTAATATCAAGTTTGTGACGTCTAATAGAACATTCTAGAAGGTTCTTTTTCTCTAGATTGTACCCATCTTGTTACCATTTACGTCATTATTGTGTAATATTGCATCATGTTTTTCGGAGCTATAAATAAAACCCACTATTGAATTTTGAGTCATTCGTGGGCATACTGTGGCCGTTTTTAGTCGTCTAAGTTGCGATGACAGTGAATTGATGCTGAAAGCTTATAATTTTGGACGACATTTCGACTACAGCCAATGAATCACCAACAAGAAACAACAACTATGGCGACTTCCACACATAAATAAGTGTGAAAAAAAATGTGGTAATAGATACGTATATATTAAGTTGAGATAAATATTTCGTTCCGGCGAGAAGTAGAAATCCGTGGATTACTCTAGGTATTATTGAGTTTATTAAAGTTAGAAATAGTCTAGTAAAAACAAAAAAAGAATTAGCTAAGCATATACATCAAAATAGTACTTTAATTAAATTAGCAAGAGTAATTTTTTTTAAATATCAAATCAATGTAGTTAATACAAATTATCCAATAAAACAATGGGAGTTGTTATATTATTTCTTAAAAATTATATAATATGAAAACGATGACGAGATTGAGTGTAATGAATTAAATGACCATTTCGTTAATATTGGTAGTGATTTAGCTGCAAAAATACATTTTTCTAAAACCAAGTCAGAAACTAATATTAATCCTAATTCTATCTTCTTTGAACCAATTTGTGATGAAGAAATAAAATTAAAAATTAGTTCTATAAAAAATAGAACAGCATCACTGCACCAGGCTCAGATAATGTAGATGTAAAAGGTTTAAAAGCTAATAAAGACTCAATGGCAGAATTATTTAATCTATTTATTAATACAATTTATTTTCCTCAACAATTAAAGCATGCAATAATAACTCCAATATATAAAAAAAATGGATTACCAAAAGACGACGTCAATAATTATCGTCCAATTCCTTTAATTTCAAATGTCTCTAAAATTTTTTGAAAAATTTATTTATTCAAGGATAGTTAACTTCTTAGAAAAAAATAAAATACTTTCTAAATCACAATTTGGTTTCAGAGAAGGTAAAAATACAGAAAAAGCAATTTCAAAATTAATGTCGTTATTAAACAGAAAAAAAATTTAAAATGGTAATTTTTTTTGACATAAAAAAAGCTTTCGATAATGTAGACCATAATATACTAATAAGGAAATTGGATAATATCGGTTGTAAGAGGAAACACCCTAGAACTATTAAAATCATATCTAAATAATAGAATATGTTGTACAAAAATCAAATCAAAATTATCTGAAACTAAAACTATTAATTGTGGAGTACCCCAAGGGACCTCCCTAGGTCCTTTGTTGTTTAACATTTATATTAAGGGTCTTCGACAGTTAAACTAAAACCTAACAAGATTTCGTACTGACTTTCACGCAATGCTTTATACCACGCCCACTTCGGTCGCTTACCGATGCGTAAAGCCGTGAACGAGTGATTATAACCCGTCTCCGGAGTCCGGGAGCGACGCTTCACTCTCTCAATACAACTCATACATGATACATTGATAACTAAAGTTATATCATAAACTCGTGACTACACAATTCATGCGTGACGCAACTTTTGATTTATTTAATAATCTACGGTATGCTTCGCATACGCTTCGCTAATTTTATTTTGTGTATATTCAGGGTGTAACAGAAAGATATGACAGATTTACATGTAAATCTTACACAAATCTGTCATATCTTTCTGTTACACTCTGTATAATTACTATTATTATATTCGCTTGTATTCCAATATGATTATTATGCAAATCAATAGGTATATTGATAATATAATAATTTAAATGTTCCACTTCACGGTCAGTCGTCAGTGAATTGCATTTAGCAGAAAGCTAGTACAACCGGCAATACGAATGAAAATACGAATATAAATTATTACCACCTGTCCACCTAGTAATTACTATTTTTAATTACCTATATTAATTTATGATTTTAATGTGTATAATATGTAAGTAAGACAATAAATCATAAACGAGTATAATATTATAAATAATATTTTTATTTTATTTCAACGTATAGACGATTTTATAATATATTAAGATACATTATAAAAAAAAACTCTATATTTGCATATACTTTTACAAAACACAATATTACTTAAAACAAAATATTAAAGAAGCTTTAAACGTTTATTTTTTTTTCTTCTTGTGCTCTAATTATGTACTCTGGATTCCGTATTGGCATACTACATAAGTGCCTCGGATCGACCAATTCCGGCAAAAACCAATTGAAAAAAAATTGTTAAGTTCGGCAACATGATAGTAGTCCAAAATGATGTCCCTTTTAATTATTTCATACTTCATTCTTTTTTTTGTCCACACGTCGAGAAAACAATAATGTCTTTGACAAACATTTAACTGTCCCTGTACTTGGTAATACCACTTATGATTTTTTTTAATTTCATAAGTGGTCCCATATTAGTTTTGTTTCCAACAGCTGATTTTTTTTTTCAATTCCTTCTTCTGGAGTTAGATCTGCAGCTGATTAAGGACATTTTATTTCGATCAAGCCTTCTTCATCAATTAATCCATCTGGAGTTACTCCTGTGAAATAATTGAACTCATCAATAAACAATCCACACTCTCTAATTTTTATACTTAGTAAATTTTCTAAACACATTTTACCTTCATTTTCATGATTTCTTCCATACTCCATTGCTATTGTATCAACATCAGTTGTATAAATTAAATTTTTTATTAGGTTTTCACAACCCGTGTCTGGACGACGGTTAATTATGCTTCCAAAGTTTGAAGCAGTAAGTAATTTAAGCCTAATGTCCAACCAATTCTGACAAGAACTTTGGTTAACAGTTTGTCTTTCTATTACCTCTCTTTGTGCAGCCACTTTTTTCATGGACTCAATGACTTCCAATTTTTCAATATTATATTCATTTTCATTCATATCTGGTTTCATTACATTTTCTCCATATGAGCATTTGAGTCATTTACACCACAAATAATTTTTTTTTAAACCTTTTATTTTTCGTCAAGCGATTATTTTGACGAAATTGATTATCTCGTCGTGTTATTTTCATTTTCACTGATGGCAATTTTTTTAAGGGACTATTTTTTAAAATTGTCTTGTGCAAAGAATAAAAAAGGTCTTTTAGAATTTTTAGTTACTGTAGCAATCGCACAACGTCCAGCGTATGACCCTTTTAGAGAAAAATGTATTCTTTTCCCTCCTATAAGTTTTGCAATAATGGCATTAAAAGATTCAACTATATTGCTGTCAACATTCTGTATCAAACTTGAAGTATGTCTAGCAAGATACCTAATAGGTTGCATTACGCTATCTATAAACACTATCTGTACTAACAATTTTTTCCATGTAATTAATATCGTTTGAATTATTATAGTCGGTTTTGTCACAAAAATATTTTGAGCAACTACTATGATTACCGAAAACATGATTGACAACATTTAAAATATCATTTCTGAGTCCTATAACTGAATTTTCTTTTTTTCTATATTCAATAGCTTTCACTATACCTTTTCGCATTCGTAGAATATTACGTGATAACAATTTTCTATGCGCTAATTGACCTGCTTGTTTTTATCATATCTCTAAGTTTGTTACAAAAATTACGAAGAAGGTAGTTACGACATTCAACTTTTTGTACAGTTAAATTTTTGTAAGGCCTTGCTTCTAAAATTTTTTTGTATACACTTGAGTCTCCATCGGCTATCAACTTTTGATATCTTATACCATACATAGGTTCACTTTGTTTAAAACCTTCAACTATTACTGCTGCTTCCATACCCGACGATCCATTTTTATCCGACCAATTTTTAGTGCAACAATGTTCTTTAACATCTTTTGAACCAAGACCAGAACGAATACAGATTTATTTTATTTATATTTTATTTATTTTTTACTCCCAAAAATAAAACTTTTTTTGTCCTATACCCAATTATCGCAGCCTATATATAAAAATAAAAACAAATTTAAATATTTAATAAGAACATAATATAATCTATTATTAAATTATAATATGCACAATATTGTACAGTTATCTAGTAAAATTACAAGGTTTCTCATGAGTAGTTCATATTATAACCCAAAACTCTAAAAAATGTATAAACACAGGTTTTATAGGTATAGATATTTTAAGTTCAAATTTGGACAAAATTAGTTATTTTGTTGTAATTTAAAAAATATTATTCATGCATGGGTAATTAATTAATTTATACCATGGGTATAGTTGAAACGTTAAAAACATATAATGTAATATGTATTATTATATTTTATATATAAAACTATACTCTGTACCAAATAAGAGCGCACCGGGCGGCGCACGAAAACCGGTCGAAACTCGCGCATGTCAGAGAGCGCTGCCGCAGCGTATTCCGGCGCCGGCCAGGTCAACTCTGAATACAGAGTGTTGTATATTATCACACCAATTTTAACGGTATACGCGGTTAGACGTTGTTATATTTTTTGCGCGCATTGGTGAATATTTTGAATGTTTTTAATATTATATTGAGTTCAATACCTATGTTAAGAAAAAAAAAACGAAAAGTATGTGTATTATTTTACTGATTAATACGCGTGAAACGCATTATTACTTCAGCTCCCTGTATTCACGGCGGCGTCGACGGCGGCGAATCCGACTGACGATCGACGACCAATCACAGAGCGAATAGACCCGACCAGGGGGTCCAGACGTCGCTCCGCGATTCATTTGGATGCGCCAACGCGGTGCGCTCTTATTTGGTACAGAGTATAGCTGATCCCGTGCACTTCGTTTCCCGTTAAATGTACCAACTTTATATAATGCGTCGCATTGTAAACGAGTAAGAACAATATATTAATTAATAAGATAATATTATAAAATAGAAAGTAATAATGGTAAAAAGATTTAAAAAAAAAAAATAAAATAATTAGTGAATACAATATTAAACTAGATGTATGTATATATAATTATAATAATTGATATCATAATATATATTACTTTTAGTATAAAATGATTTAAAATGATACAAAATAGAACAATATATAACATAATATAATAAAATATTAGACATATTACAAAATATAACAATATATTAGATTCGTTACCTAGTCTTCTGTGTTTACACCAGATAATTTTTAATAATTATTATTTTTTAATTAAACACAAGTTATTAAGAAACTGATGTTTTAAGAATTTAAAACAGTTATAAAAAGCTTAATATTAGATTATTTCAAAATTTATCTGGTGTGAACTTAGATTAAGATCTTGGCTTTAATTTTGTATGGGAATGTTATTTCTCTAAACCTGCCTCAGAAGCCGTAAATATGGAAATACTAGAACATGTTTATTGATATAATGATAGATATAAAATAATTTGTTGCACAACCTGTGCTGCTCAACAATTTCAACGGCGACCACGATTATTAAATCTCCCACTCCTATTCCTGGAAATGCGTCGACGGTCGCGACTTGCGGCACGAGCGATAACATGACAGCCATATATAAAAGATTAATAGACATAGGCGGAAATGGGTTGGGGGCTTGGGGGACCCCCCCCCAAAAAAAAATGTTCAATAAAGAATTTACTCTCATTAAAGTATAATTTTAAGAAATTATCAACTGCAGAAGCCATTTGTAAACTCTCAGTTGAAAATCTTTTTTCCATGTTAACTATAACAGCATCCAAAATTTTGAAATAAGCATTAACTCTAAAATGAGTTTCAACTGAGTCAGATTCAGTAGACTGACATTCTGCACCAGTGGTTGTTGACAAAACAAAACCTTGAAGTAAATTTGATTCATATATTTTTCTTTTTGATCCTAAAATAATAGGTACCTTATAAATATGCGCAGTTAAAATAATATTTACTTAAGATTTAAGAATAAAATGAAATACTTGCTTTTTTTTCATAAGCAATTTCCTAAGATAAATTATATTTTTCAGCAAAACTTTGAATTTTTTTCCATATCTCATTAAATCCCTCATTTGATCTTGCCTCTTTCAAACTTTGTATAACTCCTTTTATTATATAATTTGCCTTTCCCAATGTAGCAGTCTTTTCTTGAAACATATTACATAGTATGTTTATAGTTGACAATACATTATGTAAAATGAACAAGTGTACCAAAAAGGACCCATTTTCAAGGTTAGAAAGGATTCCTGAAATATTGTTTAGTATAAAAATATAAAATAATTAGGGAGTTGCCACTATTAAAACAGATTAACACATTAGTTATAACGGCGGCGGCTTACTCGTTTACAATGCGACGCATGTTACTTCGTGCGAGACTATGCTGCGGACTGGTGACTGACGGTTTAATTTTTCTGATATATATAGATGCGAGATAACGCTCTCGATTGTTCTCGAATAATCTTAAAGATATTATGACGTTATCGATTATATAATGTTTCTCGGAGGTTCTCGATAAGCACTAACGTACGAGAATATTCGCGAATAAGTACTGTACAATTAGTAAATATATTATTATATTATCATATATTTTCACATAAAGACGACAAAATTTTTTTTTTTTGGGGGGGGGTCCCCCAAGCCCCCAACCCATTTCCGCCTATGTCTATTAATCTTTTATATATGGCTGTCATGTTATCGCTCGTGCCGCAAGTCGCGACCGTCGACGCATTTCCAGGAATAGGAGTGGGAGATTTAATAATCGTGGTCGCCGTTGAAATTGTTGAGCAGCACAGGTTGTGCAACAAATTATTTTATATCTATCATTATATCAATAAACATGTTCTAGTATTTCCATATTTACGGCTTCTGAGGCAGGTTTAGAGAAATAACATTCCCATACAAAATTAAAGCCAAGATCTTAATCTAAGTTCACACCAGATAAATTTTGAAATAATCTAATATTAAGCTTTTTATAACTGTTTTAAATTCTTAAAACATCAGTTTCTTAATAACTTGTGTTTAATTAAAAAATAATAATTATTAAAAATTATCTGGTGTAAACACAGAAGACTAGGTAACGAATTCAGAACAATTTTCAAAATTGAAATTGAATAGATTGAACAGTGTTCATTTTTGGAAATTCAAAGACCATTTTAGCGCTTGAAAAATCTAGTGACGAAGACCCTTAATAGTTTAGCTAAAATTAAAGTCAATGGTGAATTAGTATTATTTGCAGATGTTACAGCATTGGTTGTTGAAGCTGACAAGCATGCTGAATTATATCAAAAAGCTAATGATGATTTAATTAAGATCAGAAATTGGCTTATTCAAAATAAATTGTCTTTAAATATTTCTAAAACACAATACATTGATTTTTCTGAAGCGAGTTCATATAATAAATTAATTATTCATGACTTTCTGTGTACAAATATTAATGAATGTTGTTGTCATAAATTAGAAAAGGTGAATGAATATAAATAATTAGGATGTATAATTGATCAAAAACTAACATTTGACACTCAATTTCATGAAATAGTTAATAAAAGAAATAACAAAAAGAAATTTTCAATATTCTATATTTTAAAAGAAAAAAGTTTCAAGAAATCAGTAACTCAGATTTAATTCAATTTCACTTACAATATGCAATAAGTATATGGGGAGAAAAAGATAAATTAAATTAACTTCAAGATATAGTAAATATTATCACTACCAAATTTGAAATTGAGGATATAGGACCCGTGCATGACTTATTAATGCATAGGTTAAGAAAGGAATATCATGATTTATATTACCGAATTCTGGAATATTATGAAATATTTAAATACTAAATTTACTCACTTAATAAATCCTGACTTTAATTTTTTACATAGCTTACATTTTGCAGACAATCTTTTCCTATTGTGACTAGTTTTTATTATAAGTGGATTAACATTATCTGTTTTTTGTTTACACTTAAAGCAATATAGTTTGTTCATTTATAAGTAAAAAAATTGATTGAGTAAAATTAAATTGGTAAATAAAAAAAAAATGAACAAAAAAATATAAAAATATATAAAATGTACAAAAAAAATAAAATATCAGAGTGATAACCAAACTTGTTGCTGTTGATATTAATAACGTGGTTATAATCATGATGAAATAACAAGGTATGATCACAACAAACTAAATTTCGTTCAGCCACCGCAGAATAGGGTGGGAGTCATCCTCGTCATTTGATTGGCTTATATTTAACGCGCCTTTTATGAGTTTTTGATTGCATAATGCTTTGTTAAATTAATGATAAAAATATAAAATAATAATATTTTTTTTATATGTATTTAATAAATTTTAATTTTTCACTGTTGTTTTTATTTGTAAATTGTTGTTCTTGACTTTGTCATTATGCCAGTTTGTGCATTTGTTGGATGCTATAGTGGCAGCAAAAAAATTAAAAGTAGCAATACTAATGTTCACATTTATAGATTCCCTAAGGACTCACATATGAGGGCTCTATGGTTTGAACAAATCCAAAAGGGTTCAAACGAAACTATGAATATTAATTTTGAAACGGGTATATAATAAGTAATAACAATATACACAATTATATAAACAAGCAAACCAATATAAAAATGTATCTATTAACGCTATAATACTAAAATACTCTTCAATGAATCATTAAGACGTAATAAGTCAGTTTACATGTTAGAAATAACAATTTAATGTTTTTTATTTTAGCTGCAGTATGTTCATTACATTTTTCACCAAGTTCATACGAGAACAAAACAAGGGTACAAAACATTTTAAATTATACTCCCAGACGTGGCAGAAAACTAAAACGTGATGCAGTACCTTTAAGGTTGAAGTCCCATCTATTTCAGATATTGAAGTTGGTTTAATACAAATAGAAAAATGTTATTTGTTTACTGTTGTAGTTGTGAATGTCTTGAAACATGTATGCATGGTCAAAATAATTCATTTAATCAATCACCAAAAATGTGTACACCGTCTGGATCATTTTTGGTTACAAATTTAGCTGATGAATCAACCAGTTATCTATAAACCCATTTTCTGTTATTTTGTTGAAATAGCTAAACTAATAAATTATAATTATGTCTGATTTGTATACTCTGTCACTATAGGTAACCTGTTCGACAGGCAGTCCGCTTTGTATTTTTCTTAAATAAAAGTGGTTCTCTCTCTCTCTCTCTCTCTGTAATTCATTTAAACATTTTTTTTTACAGTATTGAACCAGCAGTAAAAAGAACTTGTAAAATTAGTCTTTTTGATGCTTTGGAATCTGACACAAATTTTGGGGTACAAGTTCTTGCAGAAGAAGATAATGGTTCTTGCTTGTATCAAAAGTAAATAATTAAATCTTCAAAATACAGTGAGTTCCGCTTAATGTGATCACTAGTTTATAGAATCAACCGTTTATTAGAATCAAAAATGAAAATCCCAAACCAAATTGTATGCTACTAATGTTAAATTGACCTTTTATTAGACTCACTAAGTACATGATAATTGAATCACTTTTATGAACAATCTTATCGTTTTTATGGTATCTCAAACTGATTAATTTATAAAAACCATTTTATTTTTGAATTTATCAGTATTACTGTATATCGTTGTACATTATGTCAATCAATTATCTTTGTACGTTGCGGCGTCGTGTACTTGTGTCATTTAGTTTATTCGGTTTATTGTTCATGATCAGACGTATTTTTTTGAAATGTCGGCCAAACGAAATGATTTATTTAACTATAAAAGAAAAAAAAATATACTCGTTCGTTTCGATAAATTGGATAAATGTTCTCAAAGAGAAGCCGCATTAGCTCTGAAAATTAATCAACCAACGTTAAACAAAATTTGAAAAAATCGTAAGGAAATTGTTGAACATGAAGAACAAAATTTGCATCTTTCTCGAAAACGAAAACGAAATGGACAAAATATTGATGTAGAAGAATCTTTATTACGATGGTTTCAGCAAGCTAGAAATTTAAATGTACCGGTCAGTAATTCTATTTTACAAGAAAAATCTATAAATTTAGCTTTGAAATTAGGTGTAGACAATTTTGGTCCAACGATCGGGTAGTTGACTCGTTGCAAAAACAGAAACAATATTGTTTTTAAAAAAACATGTGGAGAAAAAAAAGATGCAAATTTTGAAGCTGATACTTTTCAATTGTTTCCAAAACTACAGGTATGTACAATGTATATTGTAAACAAATAAATAAAAAACATGAATATGATTTTTAATTTAATTTAATTTTAGGCTAATATGAATACTAAATTGGTAGATTCCCACACAGCATATTAATATTTTCAAGACATTTTCAAAATATATACAACAGAATATTTATATGCTCAAAATATGTTTAGAACATTTGAGGAAAATATTAAGATATTGCAAAATTATTTTCAAAATATATTTTGGCAGAAGTACCAATGTTTTCAAAACGTTTGACCCATTTATTTTCAAAATATTGTAGCAAATATTTTTGAAACATAAAATGTAGTATATCTTAAGAACATCGGAGTTATATATTTTCAAAATATTTAACTCAAGATAATTTAAAAATATTTTCTTGTATATTTAGACAATATTTGAAAAGATAATAATAATATATAATTATATATAGGTAGTATGGGTACTTTTGGTATTCATAAAAAACAAATTAAAAGTTGTACAAGCTATGTTATTAACCATGGGAAAGTTCCGTTATATAATATTTTATAAAATACATGAATAAAGAAATGTATAATGAAGACAGAAAAATAAAAAAATATATATCAATATAAATATTTAAAAAAAAATTCAAGTAAGTTATAAGTAATTGAATTTTATCTTTGAGCGGTACCCATTTAAATAAAAAAAAATAACAATACATAAATAATATAGTTGTAAACTATATAAAACACATAACTTGTATTCAAAAGTAACATAATAATATAATAATGTCTTATTTAAATATTAATTTTGTATTCATAAAAAACAAGTTAAAAGCTATAGGTACAAGCTATTTTATTATCGGCCGTGGGAAAGTTCTGTTATATAATATTGTAACGTATGATTGTAACATGTTCATACACTACATGAATAAAGAAATGTATAATGATGACAAAAGAATAAAAATTATATCGATATTAATATTTAAAAAAAAAATCAAGTAAGTTATAAATGATTGAATTTTATCTGGGGCAGTACCCATTTAAATAAAATAAACAATAAATAAATAATATAGTTACAAACTATATTATAGTACATCTTATTGTATTCAAAAGTAAAATAATAAAAATAATCTCTTAAGACATAATAATAATAATTATTATTATTATTTCAATATTAAATTTTGTAATCATTATTTAAGTTATAGATCTTTTTCTGAATCTGTATTTTCAGAGTTGGTACTTGGAATAACTTTTGTCTTGAATTTTAATCTTGCTGATGCCTGTGCCATAAACGATTTCAGAGGTTTTTCAATTTCATTGTCAGAAGCATTTTGAAATAAGGGAACCTTTCTCACTGCCACTGAAATATAAACATAAAATAATTATATAATACCCTGGACTAAGATTACAATACATAATATTGACTTAAAGGTAGTAATAATTATAATAAAAAGTATATTAATAAGTAAAAATATATTATATTTAATTATTTAATATATTATTGATCAGAATATATTAAAAATAAAAAAGTAAAGGAATTATGTTTTAATAAGCTCTAGTTTAGTACCAGTGGCATGTTGACCGTGATTTTGAAGGGCAGTTGCCCGATAGTTTTAAAGGGTGGGTGGGTGAGTACTGGATTTAGTAAGAAATTCTAGTGCAAGACTAACTTCATCTAAATATGATATTTAATAAGAATAATAACTTAAATAACAATAGTATTATATTAATTTATATACTTAAGAAGTCAAGGGGTGGTAGCTCACCAGGTAGGTCATTTAAAAAAAAATTTCACTTTGTCACCCCACTGTTAAGTACTACATGATATACAAATAACATTAATATATTAATTTATAAATTAAAGAAATGAAATAATAAAATTTATAACTCAATTTTTAACTTGTTATTACTAATTTTAACACATTTACTGCTTTGATCAATTGGTTTTTGTAGAAAATGCAAAAATGATGATTAAAAAAAAAACATGGCATTATATAACTGGTGTGTAGTTGTACACAAATATTATGCATGTACAAATATTATACTATTTGAATCTAATTTAAGTATATAATTGTTAACTTATTTCTCCAGATAAATCCTATTAATATTATTAATTTAAATTATGTTGATAGGTGACATTATATAAATATCAAACTATAATAAGTCTATAAATATAATATCATCAAATTTTTTATAGCTTACACTTAATAAGATCACAGCTCCTTAAATTAGAAAATGTTTTTTTTCCTTTAAAACCAATGAAGGAGTAGTCAACTAAAAATGTATCAGAAAACAATCTTTGCATTAACTTTCTTACTGTTTCTGAAATACTATGACCACCCATAAGTGAAAGTTGTTGAGCCTAAAAAAACAAAAAGATCAATTTTATAATATATTATATATACTAAATAAATATTTAAACCATATAAATACATTAATTTACACAATGTTTCAACTAATTTTATTTCTTACAATTTTTGACAAATATGATGAGTCTTTTATAGTATCTTCCCATTCATTTAAATCATTCGCATTTGTTATATGTGGTATATCATAATGATTTAAGGAATGACTGTCACCATTTGAATTTGTTTGATTATTTAGTTGATTAAATATTTTGTCGAGCATCATTTTTAGATAGTCTTGCCCATCATGAAGACGTTTAATTCATATTTCAGGTTTGTACAAATTCTTAGCGATTGTTTAGCATAATCTTAAATCAAATTTAAATAATTAAACATAGCCATTTTATATATTTTTAAATACTCACTGTAGTTGTTAGAGTCATCACATTTAAACTTATTGACGTTTGATATTGATGGAATATCTGCAGAGTCATCATCACTATCTATATAAGTTATATTGAAATAAAAAACATAATACCGTGTGTTCAATTTTAAAGGTAACAGGAAATATTTCGATCGTATGACCTTGAATTTGATTCGGGGTTTTTATACTGCATATAGGACTTATAAATACATATTTTTTTAATGAATTCAAATTTTTAATTTTTTTTATCAGCGCATGCGCAGTAAAATAAAAATTTCTTAAATAGCAACCACTATTTTGGAGACCGGATTTCGATTTCTTTATTTTTTCTGAACAACTTTGATCTTTACAGTTTGTTGATATCTTCAAAATTGCCATGTTTATGACGGTCGGAAGTTTTAAAATAGTTAATTCGTAAATAATTGTGTGGTGGATGATATCTCTCGGGATATCGTTCAGCATAAAGTGCCGCTGCGTTACGCGAATTTTTATGACATTATCCAAAAATTAATACCATATCGGTTTTTTCGAAATAGTTTGCCATTGTACAGAAAATAATGTTTCACGCGCAACTTACGAAAAACGTTTGACTATTCACAATCAATTTTAGAATGCTATCAAAATATCTTATTCACACAGGTTAATAGTATAACTTTCATTATAATACTATTAAAAACAAATTAAGATAATAGTAGTAGATAATTTAGTAGTTTTAATAAAAATAAATTGTTATAATAATACCTATAAATACCTATAAATTAAGATAGACCGTTGAAAAATGTAATATTTACAAATTAACTATTTTAAAACTTCCGACCGTCATAAACATGGCAATTTTGAAGATATCAAAAAACTGTAAAGATCAAAGTTGTTCAGAAAAAATAAAGAAATCGAAATCTGGTCTCCAAAATAGTGGTTGCTATTTAAGAAATTTTTATTTTACTGCGCATGCGCTGATAAAAAAAAAATTAAAAATTTGAATTCATTAAAAAAATATGTATTTATAAGTCCTATATGCAGTATAAAAACCCCGATTCAAATTCAATGTCACACGATCGAAATATTTCCTGTTACCTTTAAAATTGAACACACGGTATAGTATATCAATTTTATTTTTAATATAAAATATAAACAATACAATATTAGGTATATCGTATATGTATAATTTAATACATAATATGCATGCTTATATTATAATACAACCACAGAATTATAATTGATATAACATATTTAGTTTTTGAGATTTTCAAGAATTGTCAACTGTTGTACAAATTACATTCTGTATAGTATTTTGTTTGGTCAAATAATAGTGCATCTATAATATATATATAATTAAAGATCAATATTGCAGTATACACATTATTTATTCTTTTCATCACAAATAATAAATAAACTTATTAAAATACTTCTAAGATATGTCAATATAATACAACTAAAACATATTAAAATAAAATACAGATCTAGACCTTGGACCTATCTCACTTTTTGGTGAAATAAAAGGGCCTCATATAAAGGGCTAAACATATTCAATTTATGTACATTTTCTTGTGCTAGAGGGGAGTATCTTAATCACTAAATGTCCAATGGGGCCAATGTTAAGATACACTCTTCTAGCCCAGTAAAATATACATAAATTGTATATGTTTAGCCCTCTGTCTAATTTTAAAAAATTGATATTGGCCCTTCTTGATGTATTATTGATACATTTATATCAAAATAATTATAGAATCATTATATCAAAAATAAAAAGCATCTATATTTCGTTCAATATATTATATATATACTTATGTTTCTTAAGGTTACTATATAGGTATTAACTCCTTATTATTGTTATATATGGGTCTATATTTATTTGACTTTTAATAAGTAATACAAAGCAAGATTACATAACAAAATAAAATTGAAGACTTTGGGGCAACAACGAGACATGTCCATGTTTTGGTCAAAATCACTTTTTCCCGTCGTAAAATATAAAAAAAAAATCTACATCGATTGGTGTAACAATGAGACATGTCCGACTGTTATATATGGAGTTGTAATATGTCTTGTTGTTGTGTTGGTGCAACAACAAGATATGTCCAGAAAAATACATATTAAATAAAAATTTAATTTTGGTGCAACAACAAGATATGTCCAAAAAAAATTTAAATACTGTGCAACAACGAGGCATGTCCAAGCAAATTTGCATTACGGTGCAACAACAAGATATGTCCAAACAAGTTTTTATTGCTTCCTTAACTTACTATCAAAAGTTAAGCACTATCTACTAGTGCATATGTTGTATGTACCCTATAACTAAAATATACTATTTTTTAAAAAATTCTAAATTTTTTTTTTTGGAATTTACAATGTTTTTTTTGTCTCTTGAACAATTTCAAAAAAAGGACATGTCTCGTTGTTGCTCCAAGGTCTTCAATTTAAAACTACACAATGGTATTGAAAATGTATTTAGTTGCAATTTAAGAAAATACTTATAAATTAATATTATATAAAAGGTAAATATATTTACTTAGTGCAATCTTTTTTTTTGTATTGGGTTCAGAGAAGCAATCAAACAAATTTCGATTTAGCATTGGTTTTTTAGTTATCGGTGTAGTTATATTAAAGTTACTTTGTGTTTGACCTTTATTTTCATTTATAAGCTGACAATTTACTATTTCACCATTAGAATCTAAAAATTAAGAATAAAAGTATTAATTATCCCACTGTATATATATTATGTATTGTACCTATATAAAATAATTAAACAGTAGAAATTATTTATAATTATCTTTAAAGGACATCATAATAAATGATAGTCATAACAACCAAAATATTTAGCATATACAACACACATAATATATAGGGGGTTTGCAAAGACCTTTACTTTTTTAGGTCATAAAACCTGATATGTCAGTGCAACCGGTATCATTATAAATGATTTCTGCTGTATATAATGATTTATTAATTTACCAGATAAATCCCATAGTGGTGAACTTGTGATGGTATGTGCAGATGGTTTCTTCTTTTGCAGTTCAGGTGACAAACTTGGTGACAGTTTTTTTTTATGTTCCTTTCTAGTTTGAATGTCATCTATAAGCTGACTATTTACTATTTCACCATTAGAATCTAAAAATTAAGAATAATGGTATTAATTATCACACTGTATAATAATATATACCTATATAAAATAATACAGTAGAAATTATTTATAATTATCTTTAAAGGATATCATAATAACGGATAGTCATAACAACCATTAATATTTAGCATATACAATACACATAATATATAGCCATATAGGGGGTTTGCCAAGTCCTTTACTTTTTTAGGTCATAAAATACGATATATCAATACAACCGCGGTATCATTAAAAAAGATTTCTGCTGTATATAAAGATTTATTAATTTACCAGACGAGTCCCATAGTGGTGGACTCGTGATGGTATGTGATGGTTTCTTCTTTGGCAGTTCAGGTGACAAACTTAGTGACAGTTTTTTTTTACGTTCTTTTCTAGTTTGAATGTCATCATCAGCTGACGAAACATCTGAGTATATTGACCTTAGAGCTTATTGTCTTGCAGTAGTTAAACTATCTAACAATAATAAATAAAAATATATTTATTGATACCGATGAGTTAATATTTCCATCAATAATAGTACACTGCATAATATGTTATCTAAGTAATTATAATACTATAACACATTATGAATAAAAAAAAAATAATGAATTGGTTTATACTACTATTAGTATACTTATTAATTATAATATATACCTTTTATTTATTAGTTATATATAATGTTAAACTATTATAATAAACTAGATAAAACAAGATAGAAGTAAATAAAATATGTTATTTTATTATTATAAAAGCGAATATATTGAACAATAAAATTACTTGAGCAATTACCTACTTTAAGTTTTAGAATAAATGTATACCGACTATAATTAAGTAGTATAAAATCTGTAACCAATAATAACTCTTAAAAAACTAAATAATATTCTATTTTTATGAGCCAAAACTAAATTCAAGGGTGAAGAAGTAATACAGGTAAATAAACTTACTTATGTTTAGAGATAATGGGCGAGCAGTAAATAGGTCATATTCGATGGAGTTTGGTATAGATCTTCTCTCCAATAATCTTTTACAATGTTTTGAATTTTTTGGCCAAAAGCATCTACTATTCATGTACCAACATGATGGAACAGCCTCAACAGAATTATCTTTTTTCAAATACCACCACTGACCACATTATTGTAATAGAACTATATTTAAAAATTTACTAAAACATCAAAACAGAAATTATTATTTCTATGTACTAAACATTATTTACAGTATCATGATTATCACAATTTTAATTGTAAAATAAACTTTAAATACAACTTGAATGGATTATTGGCATAGCTATTTGTTTATTTTTTTGTATATCTGACACATCCCAACATTTTAATGATAACAGATTACCAACTGAATAGATGTCCAAGATTGACGATTTCAATAGTGTCAAGTATAATGGTTGCTTATCATTAAATCTATGTCCAAGTATAATGGTTGCTTATCATTAAATCTATGTCCAAGTATTTGAGTTTTATTTGTGAATAAAATTTTTTTTTTTTATTAATGGATAATATTTACAACTTTAATGACTTCAGAATATTTTGTCATGACAAAGCAGTCGGCTTTATTTGAAATATTTATAACAGCAGAACTTCCGTTATAGAGGGTTAATCTGTACGGTTAATAATAACCGTATTAGAGGGAAGACAAAAATTAGTGTCATACGTTTTTGTCGCAGATGATGCTTTCCCTTTAAAATATAATATTATGAATCCATATTCATGTCTTCAACAAAAAGGATCAAGGGAATGATCATATAATTATA